GTGTCGCCCCCTACAGGTGAAGTAGCTGGTCTGGTTTTATTAGTTATTCTTGAAGGGAATGAGTGTCAAAGCTGCATGTTGCTAGTAAGATCTACATTTGTTAACCTGTAATTATTATAAGACTATTTAACGACTACTAAATCAAAAAAAAGTAAATAACTACTAACAACTGTTAGCAGTTGGATATTTAGAAGAAATTAATAAGTCACGTTGATTTATGAGTGAGATAGGAAGGAAGTTTCGAGCTGTCAGCGGCATCAGCGGCGCCGTAGCTCTCCTGCTGGGCTCTTTTATGATCGTTCTTCCTGCTCATCTAATCGCCTCGCTCCTTCATCCTGTCATTTTCACGCCACGTTGCTTACCTGTCAGGATGACTTGACTATTGATTGCATCGGCCCAGTTCCTTTCCTTTCTTTCTGCCTCGTTGTCTCTCACAAAGCCCTTTGGGGTTTTTGAAGAACGGCAGTAAAAAGCTGCAAAATCAAACATGTGGCGCTACACGTGGCGGTGACCCCTGTGAATGAGGGAGCGCTTTGTTCTCTTTTCATGGCTCCTTCTTTAATGAATACATACTTTGTATTCCATCCATTCATACTCATATCTCGATCTCCTTACACACACTTTTATTGTTCATCTTTCTTCCCTCTCCTTTTCGCTCTTTCTTCCACACCTTTCCTGTCTTCCTTCATTTTCATTCTCTCCTCATCCCTCTCTTCCTCTGTGTTGTCACAGTAGATTTTCTTCTACCTTCAGTAGGTCGCTCTCTGTGGTGACATTTCAGTCCGGCAGTCCTCAGAGACCTTAACAGGGCTTGTCATCATCACTTCTTCTCTTCTAAAATAAACCCATCTTTTCTAATACCGCTCAAACGCTCACCGTCATTATGGTGTTAAAGCTGCTCTGCCTCACTATTCTTTCCTATTTCCTATTCTTAGTGTCTGCCTTCTTTTCTCCTCAGTGCAAAGTTAATTTCTCTTGGTATGGATTCTGAAAACCAGTCAGCCATGTTGGAGAAGTCATAAATATTCAGCTGAAATCTCCATATGCTATGAGAGCAGATACACTCCAAGTGAGAGTCCCATTATTCAACATTAATGCATTGTTTAATATTTAAAATGTGGTATTTTAGAAAATGATAATTGCATAATCATCCATGACATCAATCCCATTATATTTCTCTGACTCCCTCTGTGAGTCTTTTTAATCTGTCTCACAGTTTTCTCCCCCAGCTCCCACCTTTAACTCACTTACTGAACTTGTGTCCTTTCTGTGCATTTGGTTTCCTCCTGCTCTGATTTACACAGCAGCAGGTCCTGAACAGACACAGCAGGGCAGACCTCTGCAGTGTGTGTGTGT